CGCGCGGCCAAGCGTTAGTCATTCCCCTCGGGGCGCCGGCTCCACACCCAGGCTCGGCCCCCCAGCCTGGCCTGCGGACACTGCCTGCGGGCCCGTCCGCCCCCGGGTGTCGGGGGCCTGGCCAGGGGTAGGAGGGGACTGCTCGTAGCACCCACCCAGACCCCAGACGCCACATCTGTGCGTACTGACGGGAGGGAGGCGCGCCGTCGTGCCTCCACGCACTCCACCTAGGGCCCAGGACCTGCAGGGGCCAGTGGCTGGAGCTTGGGTCGCCAAGAACATGTCTCCCAGTCTCGCTTTTCTGCTTTTCCAGTTCCTGACTGTACCCCGCCTTTTTCACCCCTTCAGCCTTTCCTTGCGTTGCTTCCTCCCCCGGAATTCCTTTGCACCCTAGAAATTGCACTAATCCCAGTGCCTCTTCTCCATAAACCTTCCCAAATCCCCGTGGATTCAATCTCGTTCGGCTTCCATCCCGTTGAACCATAAACCATGTTCACCACATATGGTGGATAGAAGGGACTCACAGCCTTCCCTCCCCCTGACTTCAGCACTCTGTGTCAGCCCTCTGAGCTCTCCCCCAGCACGTCCTTCTGTGAGTCTGTACACATAGGAGTGAGAAGTCAGTACTCATTCTGCACAGGTGATTGAAGGTGCTTGGTTCTCTGAAGGATGAAGTGAGGCATGTATTGTTGCTGGGTGCAGTGGAGTTGATTCTGACCCAAAGCGCCCCTAGAGGACAGAGTGGAACTGCCCCACAGAGTTTCCAAGGCTGTCAATCTTCACAGAAGCAAAGCCCAAACCACACCCACTGCTGTGCAGTCGATTCTGACTCACAGCACCCCTAGAGGACAGAGTGGAACTGCACCACAGGGTCTCCAAGGCTGTCAGTCTTCACAGAAGCAAAGCCCAAACCACACCCACTGCTGTGGACTCTATTCTGACTCACAGCGCCCCCAGAGGACAGAGTGGAACTGCCCCATAAGAGTTCCAGGGCTGTCATCTTGACTGGAGCAGATTGCTAGGTCTTCCTCTCAAGGAGCTGCTGAGTGTGTTCAAACCTCTGCCCCTTCAATTAGCAGCCAAGTCCTTCACCATTGCACCACCAGGGCTCCTAAAGTTACTTAAATTCAAAACTTGGATGGGTTCAATTCAATAGAATGTCCAGTTCTCCTGTCCTGTTTCATTTTAATCCCAGAGGATGCCTAAGCTCCGTTCTCTTCCTTGGGTCTAGGGCCACACATATCCCTTTCTCCACATACAGTTCCTCTGGCCCAGGAACAGCCCTCGTCTCTGGGCCTCTCTGTACAGACCTGCTTCCCCAGATGTGTACTGAGAACGACTGGATGCAGATTTTTTTTTTTTTTCTTTGCAAGGAAGGAAGTGCTTGGAAAACAAGGAGCCCTGGGAATACTTTGTCATGTTGGGGACTGGTGCAGAGGAGCATATGAGGTGAGGTTGGATGGGCTTTGTAGAGCAGGCATGTGGGCCAGAGTTAGACCCAACTCAGAAGGTCAGCCCCACCACACACAGTTCCACAGTCCACCATGCACCGTGGACCACCATGAACTCTGACATGACAAGAAAATTTGAAAACAGTAGCAGCTTTTTCAGGGAGAAGCCTTGTGGGCAAAAATCACAGAACTGAACTCATGAGATAAGTGACACAGCAGGTTTTGTCGCAAAGGCATTAGATCATGTGGGTTGTAACAAATTATAGATAACACTGAGGAGAATGGGAATTCCAGAACCCTTCACTGTTCTCCTGAGGAACCTGTACATAGACCAGGAGGCTGTCATTCGAATAAAACAAAGGGAATACTGCGTGGTTTAAAATCAGGAAGGGTATATGTATGTCAGTACTCAGAGAGCAAATCTATATGCTGAGCAAATAATCCGAGAAGCTGGACTATATGAAGAAAAACGTGGCATCAGGATTGGAGCAAGAATCATTAACAACCTGAGATACGCAGACAATACAACTTTGCTTGCTGAAAGTGAAGATGACTTGAGGCACTTACTGATGAAGATTGAAGAATACAGTCTGCAGTATGGATTACATCTCGATATAAAGAAAACAAAAATCCTCACAACTGGGCCAATAAGCAGCATCATTATAAATGGAGAAAAGATTGAGGTTGTCAAAGAATTCACATTGCTTGGTTCTACAATCAATGCCAATGGAAGCAGCAGTCAGGACCTTAGACGACGCGTAGCACTGGGCAGGTCGGCCGTGAAGGAACTCTTTCAAGTTCTGAGTAGCAAGAATGTCTCCTTGAGGACTAAGGTGCGCCTGACACAAGCCATGATATTTTCAATCACCTTGTATGCATGTGAGAGCTGGACAATGAATAAGGAAGACCAAAAAAGAGTTGATGCTTTTGAGTTGTGGTGCTGGCGAACAATGCTGAAAGTACCATAGACTGCTAAAAGAACTAACAGATCTGTCCTGGAGGAAGTGCAGCCAGAATGCTCCTTGGAAGCAAGAATGGCCAGACTCCGTCTCACCTACTTTGGTCATGTTGTCAGAAGGGACCATTCCCTGGAGAAAGATGTCATGCTTGGTAAGGTGGAGGGTCAACGAAAGAGGGGACAGCCTTCAACGAGATGGATTGACATGGTGGCTGTGACAATAGGCTCAAGTATAGCAGGGATCATGGAGCTGGCGTGGGATGGGGCGGTGTTTCGTTCTGCTGTACGTGGGGTCGCTATGAGTCGGAAACAACTCGACCACACCTAACAACAACAACAACGGAAAGCAAGGTCAAAGGAGTGGTTGGTTCTGCCTTGGAGGCCCAAGACTTATTCTCAGAGGGCATAACACACAGCTGGACTTAGAAGATGGACCAGGAGCCTCCAGGGAGAAGGAATACACTCAATAAGAAGTGTCTTGGCTCCATCTGCAGCTAGAAGGCTCAGTGTCTTAGCCTGGAGGTCCCAAGAAGTTGGAGAGAAGATTCTAGACCAGTCTATGCAAAGAGAAAAAGTATAGTCTATTTGGTCAAGAGTGAGAACTTCTGTATGACTAAACCAGACCTCAGGAGCTCTGGTAGCATAGTGGCTAAGGCATTTGACTGCTAACCAGAGGGCTGGCGGTTCAAACCCACCAGCCACTCCTCGGAAGGAAGACTGGGCAATCTACTTCCGTAGTGATACTGCCTCGGAAACCCAAGGAGGGCTCACTATGAGTCGGGTCCGACTCAACGTCACATAACAACAACAACAAGGGGTCCTCGTGGTGCTATCAAAAGGGTGGCAGTTCGAACCCACTTGGGAGCTCCTCAGAGGAGAGACCTAGCCATCTCCTGTAAAGATTAAACAAACTAAGAAACCGACTCATGGTGACCCTACTGGACGGAGTAGAATGGAAGCAGGCTGCTGTATCTTTCTCCTGAGGAACAGCTGATGATGGGTTTGAACCACCGACCTCTTGGTTAGTAGACCAGTGCTTAACCACTGCCTCACCAGGGCTCTTTCCGTAAAGATTCCAGCCTGGGAAACCCTAGGGCGCTGTTCTAGTCTGTCGCACAGGGTTACTATGAGTTGGAATTAACTTGACAACACACAACACCAGGCCTTCCAAATGGATATAGTGACATTCCTTATAATGTTGACCAGAGGAGCCCTGGTAGGTCAAGGGGTTAAGAGTTTGGCTGCTAACCACAAGGTTGAGGGTTCAAACCTGCCAGTGGCCAGGGAGCAAGACTTGACAATCTGCTCCCATAAAGATAACAGCCTAGAAAGCCCTACAGCATAGTTCTGCTCGGTCACCATGAGTTGCTGTTGTCTAGATGACACTCAACACAACAACAGTCAATCCCATTGGTGAGTATTGTGGCTGTATTTACAGCTAAGGGGAGACCCAGTAAAGACCTTGCCATCCTCACATGGCCCCATCGTGGTAACTGTGTTTTGTAAAAGCTCAGTTTCTCTGCTTTGCAAAGTTGATCAGACTCAGAGGCACTGATTAACGTGAACCAAACTCACATTAGCCTGACAACCAATTCTCCACCACCACTGCCTCCATTCGTGGACTTGCCATCAGCGTGGGAATCATTGCAGGTCTCTCCTAACCAAAAATAATGTTTAAGCATTTTTGAATCCCACCCTATCCTTTTTGTTTTAAGGAGGCCTGATGGTGCAATGGTTAAGTGCTCAGATACTAACTGAAAGGTTGGTGGTTCAACCTTACCCAGTGGCAATGAAATAGGAAGGAAGATTTAACAAAAAAAAACTAAACGCACTGCAATCCAGTCAATTCTGACTCATAGTAACCGTCTAGGACAGAGTGGAACTACCCCACAGGGTTTCCAAGGCTGTGGATCTTTACAGAAGCAAAGCCCAAACCATGCCCACTGTCATGGAGTCGATTCTGACTCACAGCGCCCCTAGAGGACAGAGTGGAACTGCACCACAGGGTCTCCAAGGCTGTCAGTCTTCACAGAAGCAAAGCCCAAACCACA